CCCCCTTTGTGGGTATGCATGTGTGTATGTATTAAACAGTACCTTATTATTTTTCTGGGAGAGTGCTGGCTGGTTGTGGTACCTTCCTACCCATTTGCCTGTTGGTTGTTAACTTAGCCAAATGATGGTGGATGTAGCTACTCTTGTAAATTGAGTTACTGCTTAACTGAGTTTCAGTGAATTACCGTGATTAGAAATAACTAGGGTAATCAGGTTTAACTAATTAAACCATCTGTTTACTGCTGTGAAGGGAAAGTAGAGGAAGAAGGATGACTAACTGATAATAGAACAGAAACATAGGGACCTATGGACTGACTTGACCTTGCCATGTTCAGGCGGCCCTGTGCGTCAGTAAATGTACTCATCGAGGCATTGAAGGCTGCGCTGGGGAAGGATGATAGTTGGAGATTTCTGTACTTTTGAAATATGAGAGCAGGGAAGAAATGCATGGTAGTTAAAGCAAAAGGGAGGAAGCAATCCTGTCCTGGACCCACTTACCAGGATTGTGTGTAAAATGCTTCTGTGTAAGTGCTGCCTGGCTGTTCACAGCTTGAAGGCTTTCCATGCCCCTCAACAGAAACTCACCTTACCAGTACACGTTCCAAAGTATATTCACAGCTAAGTTAAACCTCGTGATCTCTTGGAAACTTTTTCTTACTTATCCCACAGTGGTGTTTTCCTTCTGAATTATTGCAGTATTTACTGCTTGTCTACACCAGACTGGAAAGGGGGAAAAGAAACTTTTCCCTGGTGCCAGGCACTATACAAGGTCGTATTTAATCTTCACAGCCTTCCTGTGGGGTAAGTACAACTGCTTCATTTTATAGATGAGAAACTTGGCTAGAGAAACACGAATAGTAGTTGTAGAAGAAACCTGATTCAGTGTTAGTCGTAGAGATGTATAAGGTGTGGGTATGTTGCAAATTCCGACTCTTAATCCAGTGTTCCCAGATCACCAATCTGTACTTTTTATGCTGTGTCATATCATGACAATTGTGTGTATCTCTGTATTCATGTTATTTGTTAGAATTTGATAATTCCTGTTAATACCACTTACATGTTCCAGTGGTCAAGGAATTTGTAGGTGACAGTGGCATTAAGGGAGATCCATTAAACACCCTTTTGTGAATCTGTTACAAACTGTGACTTAAATAACTTAATCATAACTCTGAGCCTTTGTTTCCACATCTTTAAAATGGGAATGATATTAGTAACTACCTTAAGGTTGTTGTGAGGACTAGAGGAAGTAATGAATGAATATTACATTCCCAGCAGAGAGGAAAACTACACAGTAAGTTGTAGCTCTCATCATTGTCACCATGAAAAGCCATCATCTGTTGGTGTCGATGAGATCAATATCTGTGATATCCTATTTATGACACATTTATTCTTTTTCTCTGTCTAGTATCCAGGAGTTCCCTGGTTCTAGTATCTGGGGATTGTCAAATACACCCTGGTTTACTTGTCCTTACCTCCCGTGGTTATGTGTTTAATGAGTGCTTGATTTGGGTTGGCCCTAAAGCAGAGGCAGCACAGTTTAGAAAGCCTTTGCTAGCAGGAGATCATAGGGTTGCCAGGGAGATTTAAATATTTTTCCACGTTGGTTAAGAATACAGACTTTTTTTTTAGCGTATGGTACAACGCATACTTTTTATTTTTCAAAAACTACAAACCGGGAGATGCAGACCTTAGTTGTATATTCATTTTCCCTTTGAAAACAAGAATTTTTAAAAACCTGAGCACATGAATTATGTTTTGTTATTTAGGGTTCAGCACATGATTAAGTGACTGTGCATAGTAAAAGGAGAGCGGTTTATAACCTGATAAAGATTTTTGCTTCAGGCAGAATTGTGCGTTGTTATGGATGTAAATGTCTTGCTTCTCTGTAGCACCTCACATGCATGAGTGTTGTACATGTGTACGTATTTTCGTTTGTTTGTGTTTTGGGGGCTTTGTGTGTTTTGTGGCATTGGTATGACTACCTGTTCTGATGGTTTATGAAAAACAATTTACATGTGGATTCCTTTAGCTTTCTAGTTTGCCTGCTGATCTGGTGAGGAGTTGTCATTTTAACAAATTGAAACACCACCTTTGAAGATTATGATGTCATTTTTATCCTATGGCAAGGCCTCATTTCCTTCTTCATTTAATCCAGATGCTTCTGAAGACTTAAGCTTTTTTGTGTCTGCATCTGTACGATGGCTAAAAATTAGGCCTGTAAGGGTCTTTGTAAGAGTCTTTGCCAAAGCATCTGGCCCTTACAGTGCTTGACGTGTCTCAGAAGACTCAGCCATTGTCTGAACGTTGGGGTATAAGGGGATCAGATAAAATAAAGAAGTTGATCCAGAAATTGTGGTGACTTTTATATTATCTGAATACAGGGTGGGGCAGAAGTAGGTTTACAGTTGTAAGTATGGGAAACAGAGTTTATTCTATTATTATTAATTGTATTATTTTTCATATGAAGAACTGTAAACCTATTTTTGCCCCATCTTATATGTATGTATATATTATATACACATATGTGTGTGTGTGTGTGTGCTGTTTCTAATCATAAAGGCATGTCCCGTTTCTCTTCTGCGTTAGTTAACTCCAGTCAGCAACAGTTCTGGCAGTTGGAGCTTAGTCTTTCAAAACAGTTTGTCATACTGTTTACCTGCTCAGTCACGCTTTAGACTCAT